ATGGGTCAGTGCGATAAACTTTGTCAGTGATTATTTTCAGACTGGTTATTTCTGAGGATGGGGTTTTTGCTTTCCAGGTGGCCTTGCTCCATGTGCTGGGTCTTGGTCCCACAACGTTGTCCCTGCAGGTTGGGCCTCTGCGTGTGCCCCATGTAAGCAGGGAGCTTGCAGGCAGCCTTAGCAGCTCCCATGCCAGCCGTCTTGACCTAGCTTATCATTTCTCTAGCCAGACTACGCTTCCGTCTCACTCCCCTCCTTGCCCAACCTCCTGCTGCCTGGTTCCGTGGAACAGTGCAGGATGAATTCACTGGGATCGAGATAACTAGCCATGGTGGGAAAAGCTGGAGAGAACAGGATGCAGTGGATGAGTCCCAGCAGACAGAAAACAAAATGTCAGATGTCTGGTTCCAGCAAAATGGTGACTTCCACCAGATAAAAGCTAAATTCTGCAGCATCTTGAAAAAAAAGCCATAGGCTATTCTAGCATGGTGACGACTCACTACCATGGCGCCTCCTGCTGGTCGTTCAGGGAATTATATTTTCCAGCCTTGGAGCGCCCTCTACCGGCCAGTATCCCGCGTGCCTCAGGCCCCCGTGTCCCTCCCAGACCCCAGTGCCCCTTTATCTTGAGTGCTGCCCCCTGGCAGTACCCCCACTCTCTGGGTGTCCCCACCCCAGGGAACCCCCAACCCTCTATCCCCACCTCACCTCAGGGCTACTGCCAGTCACCATCTAGCCCCCGCTCACTGGGGCAGACTGCAGTCTATAGCATTCATCATCGGTAAGGGGGATTTGGACCTGCTGCCTTTGCCTACCCTGGGCTGCATCTCTGCAACCCCAATACCCTTCCCGGCCTTTACCAAGGCCTGCAACCTGGGGGTTTTCCAGCCTGGAGCTCCCCAGCTCCCCTGGCCTTTCCCCAGCCCTGCTCCACTCTAGGTACCGTGCTGAGCTCCCAAGCAGCCAGGCCCGTCTCTCTTCACATCTACAGAGAGACTACCTGAGCTCCTGGCCCACAGCCTTTTATAGGGCCAGCTGTGGCCTGATTGGGTCCACAGGGCAGGTCACGTCAGACCACACCTCTCAGAGTTATTGTTCTAGGCTTTCTGCAGACATCACTCCATCGATTTATATCTGGTCAAGGTTAGTTTTGTAACCTTAAGCACGAGTGTGATAGATGCTATAGCAAGGATTGAGCTTGGGTCCTCCAGAGCTACAACTGTAAGTTGCTATAGCTTGAGCTAAAAAGCTCTATAGGTCGTGCTGCTAATTATTCCTCTTTGGTGGGTTGCCAGAGATGGGATCTGCACACGCTCGCCAGCAGGTTACATTAGAGAAACGTTTTATTTTAAATGAAAGCAGAGATTCCGAAGCACAATTCTCCAGCAAAGGGATATTCCATGGCAAATTCTGTGGCTATGGAATACGCAGGACTTTTGTCTAGGGTAGCCTTTCCCAGAGCATCCTGGCTTCTGATCAGCACAGTTCTTATGTAACAATTTATCTGCCAACTTGAGGAAGTTGTTCGTGTTCATGCGCTAGATTGGGTCTCAGGAGACCTTGGTTCAATATGTAGCTTTGCCACAAATACATCCCTCCGTGCCTCAGTTCCCCCAGTGTATCTGGGGACCATTAATGCTCCCCTGCCCCAGAGGGGTGTTGTGGTGGTAAATTCATTAATGTTTTCAAGGAACTCAGATATTGCAGTGGTGGGGTCCAGAGAAGTAACTAGACAGATGGGTCAGATTTTCAAAAGTGCTCAGCGCCTGATGTTCTGGGCTCTTTAGAAATACCCACATGTGTATTTTGGTGACTGTGGTGGTGCTGTAGTGGTCTCAGATCCTCCCCACAGTGCCTGTTGGAGCTCTGTTAGACTCCTGGCTCTAACTTCATCAGAACCCAGGCCATCCTCTGGCTTGCCCGGGCCACCTCTTAGGGCTGGCAGTGGAAGTGCCAGGGCTTCGGAATCCCCTGCAGGGGGCATGTAACAAAATGAAAGCAGCGGCCTGGAAAGGATAAGAGATCCCTGCCTATCACATGGATGGGTGGGGTATATAAGGAAGAGGCAACTGGGTTGAAGGAGGAAGGGTGTGTTCTCTTTCTCTCCTGTGGCTTGAAGTAGGGAAAAAGCCTTTGGGGGGATTATAACCAGCATTTTCAATTGACATGTTCTGTTTTGTTATGTTTGTGCCCATTGTTCAAAGGCCCTTAAAAAGGACTCGGACACTGAGTTTGCTTCCCTTCCCTTGCTGGTGAAAGAGCCCACCAGCCTTTGGAGCACTAAAGCACTTGTATGCTCTGCCCATCACATGCATTTGTTAAGCCTCATTTCGAATGCAGGTGCTTCCAAAAATCGCTGGCTAGACATAGCTGTATTTTCCTAAAACTCTGCAATTGCCAAAGAACATCTAGCCAGATAATGAGCGACTGTTGTTTTAAGTCAGGGGAGCGTTGGCTGTGCAGCAAGCAGTGATAATCTCTCTTGTGCCCAAACATTTTGTATTCTGGTACAAAAGGCATTTGCACTAGACTCACTGTAATGTGCTGTGTCACCTCAACCCCAAACACCTTCTGGTTATCCTCAAATAACCTGTGACCCTGTATTCAGAATGGAAACCTTCAAGACATGAACAGCAATTCCAGACAGCAAAGCGGTAACGGTGGAAGGTCAGTTTGTAGCCGAACTATAATGGTAACTGTGCCTATACGCTTGGGTGCATTGTGTCTGTTCAAAGGTACAAGGCATCCAGTCTCAAAGAACAAGGTCTAAGTTAAGCAGTAATGAAAACACAATTGAGTGAGGTGGGCACAAAGATCATGAGCAATAACATAGGAGTTGCCAGACAGAACCAGACCTGTGGTCCTTCTACTCCTGTATCCTGCCTTTGACATCACCTCATGCCAGATGCTTCAGAGGAAGTCAAAAGAACCCCACAGAAGACAGATGTGGGCTAATCTGCCCTCCACATTAAGTCTCTTCCTGATCTCTAATAGTTAAAGATTGATTTAAGCCCTGAAGAATGCGGTTTAATATCCCTCCCAAAATTGCATAGAATTAACTATTCTTTCTCTAGATTTTCTTGTTAGCCATATAAATGACTGACCCCTTTTTGAATCTTGGTAAATTCTTGGCCTTAATACCATCCGATTGCAATGAATTCTTCAGTCTGGTTATGTATTGTATGAAAAGGGCAGGAAGTTAAGATTGGAACCAAGAGCCAATCAAGTCAAAGCTGGGTTTGGTTTTTGGTTTTAAATCTGCCCGTAAACCCAGAGAGTTTAAGTGACTTGCCCAAGGTCACAAAGGAAGCCCATGGCAGAGCCAGCAATTGAACCCAGGTCTTCTGATGGCCAGTCCTGTGCTTTACCCAAAACTTTCTTCTCAATCAAACTTCCTCCAAATTTGGTTCAGGCCCATCTCTAATAGCGATGTTAAAATATGGAGAGCAGTAATGGCTCTGCCTGAAAAATGGTTTGGAAAGAACAAATCATACCGAGAGCCTGGGCCTGAGTGGTGCATTAAGATGAATAATTAAGAGTTGGATTCCTTTAGGAAAGGAAGGAATTTATTGCTGCTCTTCTCTCCAGTCAAGGGGGACATTTGTTATTGAACTGTGTAATGTGTGACAAGACACAATTTTTGGTGTGTGCTATCTGGGTAATCAGCCTGCGGGAATTATGCATTCCGTGCTGATTACACCAATGTGTTGCTTTTCACATTTCATACCAAGAGTTTGAAATTTATGTTCCATTTCTGTGGTCCTCAATCAGATTTACTTTCAGTTAAAAATGCAAAGAAAGAAATATGGTAAGAACAGAATTCTCCACTGATATATGCCATAAAACCTTGGCACCTCCATACAAGGTTCCCTGGCACAAGCGGAAATGAAGGGTCTGATTCTGAGCTCACTCGCACCACTATAACTCAATGGAATGACTCCCGGTGTACACCAATATAGCATCAGGCCAGTTGGGTCTGATTTTCCACAGCTTGGCCTGTGAGCTGTCAGTTACCCCAGTGCAAAATGTGTATAAAATGCAGCAAAATCCAAATAGTAACTCACTTTGCTCTGGTATAAATAACCGTACGTAGGGGAAAGCAGTGGGGAGTCAGGCCCTGGAAGTGTAATTAAAGGGACGCTGTCAACTTAAATTGGGTCATGTTGTAGAAGCTGAGTGGTGTAGTAGTAAAAACAAGCGTGTATAAAACCTAAGACTTACAAAAATGTTCCTGCATTATTATTATTTATTATTATTTTAAATGATAATTAAAACAATTGCTTTCAAAGAAACAATCATCTCCCCGCAGTGTTTGAACTGCAAGAGCTGCAGCGTTTAGAACCTGACGGGGAGACGATCTGTGAATGGGAAGTTATTGCTTTTTGTTATCCAGCCAGCCTGAGAGAAAAAGCAACAAATAAAGAGCATAACCATGACAAGGAAATTGCATTTCTAAAATTTCCTTCATCTAAGGTGTTAGTAGCCAAGGTGAAGAAACCTGCTTGACTGTGACAGGTGCTTTTTTAAACAAAGGGGTAGTGTCACTTTAAAAACAGAAGCGGAAATCAGAGATTTTTGAGGTGGAAAAGACCGACCAAACCACTGAGTCCGTTTTCTCCAAAGAAGAATGTATTGCCCCATTAGAGGATGTAGATTCAGGGTTCAACATTTGCAGGGGCATCCCTGGAATGAATCTGCATGTTGCCTTTATGCTCTGCGCTCATATTGCCCAGTCCAAGCTGTGAGTCAACTCGATCTGGATTTGCCTTGCTGTGTATGGGCCCTGCAATGGGCTTGTATACTGCTGATGGCCCTGCGCTGTGTATGGGCAATATACCCTATAGGAGCCCATAGTGCAGCTTCTTCCTGTCTGATTGCCTGCAGGCCTGTGCTGTATATGGAAAGGGAAAGGCTCAGGAAACAATGAATGCCAGGGCTAGAGATTGAGCATGGGGTTGCTTAGCTTTATTAATCTTGCCCTTCTTCTCTTTGGTCTTCAGGAGAATCCTTGAGCTTTGCTGATGATTTGCTCTCCGGACTCGGAACTTCCTGCGTGGCAGCTGGCAGGAGCCATGGAGAGATCCCAGAAACCAGCCTTTATTCGGTCATTTTCAAGTGCCTGGAACCAGATGGCCTGTACAAGTAAGAAAGTGATGGATTTTGGATGGGATGGGGAGGAGGGTTGAGAGATAGCATATAATGCAGTTATTGTTTAACATTTTTATTGCAGTAGTGCCTAGAGGGCTGTACCGATACAGGGCTCCATTGTGGTTGGTGCTGTACAAACAGGTTTGTTTGGTGCATGTGTCTTGGACTGTGCGTTAGGAGCTGAGACAGGCCCAGATCATGAAACTGAGATCCAGTTGTCCAGCACTGGAGAGACTGGGGCTGTTTGGATCGGGGGGTTTGGTTCAGTTCCATCAATGGATAAGTGGGATAAAAGAGATCCCACTGAGGTAATCGCAGCTCTCTGATATCATGTGCATGATGGGATATGATCTGCCTCACTCTGATGAACTGAGCCAGCATCAGGGAGATTGGAATCTGACCCTAATGGGAGTTCCTCAGAGACAGCAGATGGGTTTGAGTCCTTGCCAGATTCTCCCCTCTCCATTTCCCCACTTAGCAGGCAGAGCAACCAGAGGCGGTATTCTGAACGTTACAGCATAGCGTAGAGTCCTCAGTATGTTAGGCCCTGTGCAAACATGCCGTGAGGGACACACTCTGCCTTGAAGAGTTTCCAATCCAAGTAGACAAAGGAAGTGTCATTGTCCGCATTTTTCCAGAGAGGGGAATGAGGCGCTAAAGGATGCAGTGACCTGTCCAAGGTCACAAAGGCCCAATTCCCATGCCTGTGCTTTACCTGCAAGACCACCCTTCCTCACGTCTGTGCTTTCCATGCGCTGCATCCCCCGTGTGGCTCAGTCGGCGGACGAGGGACGGGGGACAGGGAGAGGTCGGAGAGCAAACGTAAAAAAAGAGAGAGAGAGAGAGAGAAAAAGAGTTGAGAGAGAGAGAGAGAAACACCCAGGCCTTAACGTCAGAGCGGCTGTAATAATTAAAACACATTTTGTAGTGAGTAATGAAACTTTTTATGGGACCACAAAGGCAGTTAAATTCAGAGCTGGCAAATGGACTGTCAGCGAGAACTTTTTAAGATCTTGATTAATACTTTCCCTTCACCTCCCCCTCCGCCCTCTCTCCCCCACCCCATTAAGTACGTTGACAACCTCCAAAGAGGGAAGAGCTTTTATTGCACAACTCTGGTGCTGGGCCGCATCTGGGAACAGGCTCCAAATGGTGCTTGCCACTGAATAACTCTGAATGTTTCCTTGTTAAAATATAGATAGGTATGTAATATAATTATTAATATCCCTGGGAATCGGGCTGCTCTGAGCAGATGCCAGGAAGAGTCTGGAACGGAGCTGGCTAATGATTTGCCTCCAGTAAAATCCTGTCACTTGTGAGCTATTGGCAACTTGGTCCTTGGTTGTCAGAAGGGATGAGCAATTCTGTTGGCCTTCCAGTCTCTGGGGAGGCTAGTCTTGAGGTTAAACATTGGGCTGGGAGTCAGGAGAACTGGGTACTGGGTCCAGCTCTGTCACAGACTCCCTGTACGACCTGCCAAGGCACCTCTGTGACTCAGTTTCCCCATTTGCAAAATGATCCTTGCCTGCCTTCCAAAGGGCTGCATGGCTTAATTCACCAGTGTTTGTAAAGGGCTTGGGGATTCTCAGGTCAAAGGTGCAAAGCTTTACCATATGTCCAAGGGCACGTAGGCAAAGTGTTATCCTCTCCGTGGGCCAAAGGTGCCTCTCTGCTGCACAGCACTGTGTCCCGAAGCAATGGAGGTGGGGAGAGGTGGTCCTCAATTAGCAAGCAGCCGCCAGCATCCCTGCTAACTACTCTCAAGTAGAACTAGTGTGCATTAGGGAGTGTGCGGCTGGGTGGATTTGGGGAGCTGCTGCTCTGTGCAGTCTGCCTCCAGGGGAAGTAGGCCAAACCTCCGTGACAGCTTGCTGTATACAATGATGCAGCAGCCTTCTGTACTAAAAGCCTGAGCCACCTCCCGTTGCAACCACTGGGAGTCTTTCCACTGACAGCATGGGCTTTGGATCCAGCCCTCTATCTCCGCTCTTCGTGCCTGTCAAAGGCAAGCTGGAAGTCAGCTGAACTGGGAGAGCTAGCAGATGTTCTGGGAGTATAGGTGGGATTTGGGAGGCACACAGAGAATGGTCAGCCCCATGCATCTAGCTAAGGATCTGTGGGGCTTGGCATCCATTCCCCAGGGGATCCCAGAATGCTACGTGTCCACCAGCACATACACACATATGCTAGCGTCTGTGCACACACACTGGTCCATATACAGAGGCTGATACATGTATACATTTAACATACACATTCACACCCTGGTACATGCATACATCAGTACGCACACACACCTGTCTGTAAACATACATGTTCACACACATACACACACACACACACACACACAGTGTAATCCTAAGGACTGTTCTCTGCAAACATCCATACAGTTGTGACACAAAATGCAGAAACTCAGGGCAGTGACCTGTGAGGCAAATGCTCCGTTCTGAACCCACGCCGACAAAACTAAAACAAAACCCCGGGCACAAGGTTGGGTTTTAAATTGAATTTCTTCTCCTTGTTTCGCTTGTTTTGGTTTTTTCAGAAAATTCTCTTTCCTGGAAGACTCTAAAATGGGAAAAATCCAGTTTGCAGCAATTCAGTCGGGAGCTGAGATTTCTTTCAGCCTGCCCGGGGAATGCACATGCCCTGTGCTGCATCGGTGCTTTTAAAAGGCAAACCCTTTGGCCCTCTGGATAGTTGGAGGGCATCATCTAAAAAGAGCGATGGGCCTGTGCGATCACGCAAGGCTGATCAAATCCGTAAATGTGGATCTGACATCCTGTCCATTTGGCTTTTCCTTTTGAATCACCTAAAGCAATTAGGCAACACTATTGACCAATCGCTCAGCGCATTTCCGTCCTTAGATCAAAGCCAGGATTCAGTTTTTTAAGAAAAACAAAAATCTTCAAACAAACAAGCTAATTGATTTTTCTGTTTTTGAGGTTTCTGTAATTTAAACAAATAAACTAACAAAAGCAGAACTAATTTTTACGTCTTTCTTCATTTTCAGTTTGATGAGAACAAGTTGCCTTCCAGCCTGGGCTGTTCTGCCTGTAAAACATTAGGATTGTTACACCAATCCTACAGCCCGAGAGCGTATCAGGGAAGAGCAGATACAATACACACGTGCCTGTCTGTAAACACATGTACACATGCAAGTGTGCCACACACAGATACATGCATGTACACACAAATCCATACTGAAAACACGTGAACGCCCACTTCAAAATACACAGCGGTATTGATTGTGGGTGTTTGTGGAGAATACAGTATTTGGTGTATGCCCCTTAAAAAAAAAAAAGAGAGAGAGAGAGATGAACTAAATACCCTGCTGGCAAAATGTGCCATGAGCAAGAATTCCTCTCCCCATAGAAGACAGAACTTAGGCAACCCACTCACTCCTCCAAGCCTGGTCCGGAGCCACCTCCATGTCTGTTCAGTGCTTGGCTGCTCCTGAGACAACCAGCAAGGGGGATAATTAGTGCCAGTTGTATTGATGGTTTTGTGATAGTGGCTGAGACCCGTAGCTCGTTGCACTCTGGCCATTAAATGGGAAGGGCTGTCCATTGCATCTGACTAAAGGCAAAGATCAGCCTAAAGGTGAAAGGGTCCATCACCCATAACCCAACCCCAGAGGTCCACCAGCTTCCTTTATTCCTCTCTCCTCCTAAATGGGACTTGTTGGGTTATCTTCTTTTGCACACTGCAACCTCCCTACCCCTGCAACCAACCTCCCCCGTCTCATCTCCTTACCTAGCTGCTCTCCGAGCACTTAGGACGCCAGTTTACTGAGCTGTAAAAGCCGTCCACATCCAAGTGCTGTACCTGATCAGCTGCTGGAGAGCGGGGTTGCCAGCCCAGCGTGCTTATTTCAAAGCACTTGGGGAGAAGCCACTAGCTGGGGGCCAAAGAGGGAGATGTTGGAAAAGGAGATGAAACCCCTTCTGGCTCTTCTATAGATCGGCTCTGCGAAAGCAGGAGCAGCACCAGCCGCTCTTCCCTCCACCAGAGATACTATAATTATAGATTAGATTAAATCCCAATGTTTCACTTTATTTACATTCCTGACCTAGCCTATTCATTTCCGGTGTTTGTGCCAAGAATCAGCACAAAATTTACTGGAAACAATATGGAAGTCATCAGGAACCCCTCCAGAGCCTCTTCCTTGGAGCGGATCCTTCTGCCGAGAAGGAGCCTCCAGCCTCCTGCTGAGTTTGCTTTCCCCCTCACCACGCCAGATAGTTTACCTGGGTGAGTTGCTGACCTGACCCAAGGCCTCTCACCATCCCGAGCGTGCAAATGTGTCCGAGGGGTCATGGGGAAAGAGGTCGCCATCACCTCAAAGAGACGGGAACTTGGAAGCCAGAGGAAATGGCTCATTGTGTCTCTAGCTCTTGATGGGGAGCTGCGGAAGAAAGGTCAGTTCCCTTGGATGGAAGTGAATTATAGCCATGTGACTACAATCCGACCTCAGAACAGCAATAAACTCTACTACGTGGGGTGTAGCCCACAGCCAGCAAATCCTGCCTAGCCAGCTTAATCCACTAGCTGGCACAGCAGCTGTCTCCAGTGCAGCTAGGCTTAGCCTGTGCAAAGTGCATATGGCTTTTTGACTGCATGTCTGGCTATTTATATGCATACAAGAGCCTGCTAATGCAGGCAAATGCCTGCTGCTCTTCAGCTGGTAGGAATTGTTATTGTTCGTCTGTCAGAAAGACACGTGAGTGAGCCACATCTACCCTTTGAGCGAGGGGTTTGAATCGTACTGTGGGTATAAATAGCGGTGTAGCCGGGATAGCGCCGGCAGCGGCAAGCTGTGCCAAGGCCATACTCATGAGGTTCAGGCAAGTTGGTGCTCAGCGTGGCTAAGCTGTGCCGCCACTGCCTGTGCTACTACTTCTACTCGCACTCGCTCTCGCCAAGTGCGTCTACACGCGCAGGGACTCACCCCCGGCTCATAGTGTAGACGTAGCTGAAGACTTAGCGGAACAGGT